ATGTAAAATACATGGACAATTTTTAACGCTTTGAACGATTTCGAAATAAGAAAAACAATGGTAATTCTTTTGCGATATGGAACAGTCCTAGGACATGATAGCCTTAAAATTCCGACTTTAATTTTTTTTGGACCACCTTAATGTGCATACAATTTGCTGTACGGTACTAAAATATCCTTGCTCCATCCATGGCGGCTCACAAAGCGCTAACTGCTCGTATTCAAAAACATATCTAAGCTAGTAAACTAACATAACTCAGCTTGTATAGCTATGTTGCATATATATAATATATGCGTGTGAGTATATATGTGTATTTTCATATTGGTTGCACTGTGTAAAAAAAGCCATAAAGTATGTATATGAATAATTGAAATACATGTCGGAAGTATTTTTATGGCAAACGCGCGAATGAGTCTAAACAAGCTACATACATACATACATACATATGTAGTACCAAATGAACTTTATGCTGGCAAAACTCAAAGGTAGCAAAAGGTCGAGAAACAGTTNGCCATAAAGTATGTATATGAATAATTGAAATACATGTCGGAAGTATTTTTATGGCGCGAATGAGTCTAAACAAGCTACATACATACATACATAAATATGTAANAAAGTATGTATATGAATAATTGAAATACATGTCGGAAGTATTTTTATGGCAAACGCGCGAATGAGTCTAAACAAGCTACATACATACATACATACATATGTAGTACCAAATGAACTTTATGCTGGCAAAACTCAAAGGTAGCAAAAGGTCGAGAAACAGTTGAGATATGTAGGGCCCATATGATTCAAGAGTATTTATTATTACTTTTTAATTTACAAATATATACATATATCCATTGCAAAATAACAGGCCTGTTTTAGTGAGTGAATAAAGGTAGGAATAAGTGTAAACTACATGCTGCAGTTCTTTATGACAGTCGCTTTCTAGACAGTTTTATTGGTGAAGAAACCTGGCAATCGTTGCAAGCCGAGTCCTTTAAATTTTTGTGGTTTGAATTAACAATTCAATTTCTACAGGCAATAAAGCAACGCCAGGCTTAGTGAGAAAAACTACACAGATGTCCTGTGGCAGCTGTATTTATTACGTAAATACTTTTTTTTTGCATATTCCTTAAGTATGGATTAAGAAAGATTCCCATATGTCCACTGATTATTTTTTATTGCGAATTATCTGTACCATCAATGGAGGAGGCTGTCAATATGGGTCCCTATAAAATACAAAGTTATATGCTTTTGTTAATTTTGCAGCCACTTTCATTGAAATGAAAAACATTTTATGTAAGCAATAGTGGCTGCAGACTTCTAAGGTCTAGAAAGGTAGCTTTCTTATGCTGAATCGGATTGCTTTCCGGGCGAATTCTTGTCAAGATATAAGTACTTAGGAAAGCAGAGTTACATGGCAGATGAAACAAACTATCTAGAAGATTATATTACTAAACCGTTACAGTTTCTTCCAGTCGCGTTCAACTGCGTTTCCTTAACAGTATCTGAAAAATACTCAAAGTTTCAAAAAATATAGAAATAAAACTAGGAACCCGGAAATTCCTAAAAAAGGAAATACAAACACCAAGAACCACGTTAAATCCCGGGAGTATAAAGTCCAACTAAAATCAAGAAAAAATCATAAAAAAACTAAATAAATACAACAAATAATAAAAGAAAATTTACACAAAATAAAAACCGAATAATCCTCGTAAATGAAGAAAAGTAAAAAAAAATCTCAAAAGGGTAACTCTAAGAATCTCAAAAAATATTTTTAAAGTTCTCAGGAAATGAAAAAGGGAAAAACTTAGAAAAGAAAACAAAGAAAAGCAAAAAATTCATATCGTTCAAAATATTTTCTAAAAATTCAAGAAAAGTCTCTGAAGAAATCTAAAATATATACAAAAAATATTTTGAAAAATTAACGAAAACTCACCAAAAAAATCTTAAAAAGTTCTGAAAAAACTTTAAAAGTTCACAAAAAAGATAAAACACGGATAATCCCGAAAAGCACCGAAAAAGAGTCCATAAAAGGTCACAAAAAGAAAAACAAAGAATCCAGAAAAGTCAAACTAAGAATCCCGAAAGATTAAACAGGAGTAATCCAGAAAAGTCTCTAAACAAACCAGAAAAGTTCTAAAAACTTAAAAAAAAAATTGTGAAAATCCTGAAAAGTAAAAACACAGCTAAGTAAAAAAACAACGGAGAGCAAAACAAAAAGAATTCCGAAATATCACGAAATAAACTAGAAAATATCCAAAAATATTTCACCAAAAAGTCCCAGAAAAAAAAACGAAAGTTTAGAAAAAATTCGAAATTCTTAAAAAATTACATTCAACGAGCTTCCTAAAATTGTTGAATATAATTGCCTGTTTTTTTGAAATTTTTCAGGGGCTTGGGTGTTTTTTTAATAACATTTTTTTTAGTTTTTTCAGATTTTTTTTTAACTTATTTATTATTTTATAAGACCATAAATAAAAAAGGACATACTTTAAAAGCTTCGAATAATTAAAAAAAAAAAAAATCGAAAGGTATCAAAATAAATCAAAAACTTACGAAACATCTCTTAATTATCGATGTCTAAAAATAAAAAAGATAAAAGAGGAAGAGATATCATACTGATTCGATCTAGCTTGAAATAATAAAAATAGTGTTTCTTAAGTCATGAGAGGGTTCCAAGGATATCTACGAAAACACATTGTTTTTTTGACTTCAACTTTTATTTCAAAGGTTGGCAGACTTCATTCCATTGATCTACGCAATGGCTTCGAAACTTTTGATTATTCATATATTTTACTTATTTTAGTACAAACAAACTGAATACATTTCTAATCAAACTCTTTTTTTATATTTCAGGCANTGAGATATGTAGGGCCCATATGATTCAAGAGTATTTATTATTACTTTTTACTTTATAAGTAGTATATACATATATCCATTGCAAAATAACAGGCCTGTTTTAGTGAGTGAATAAAGGTAGGAATAAGTGTAAACTACATGCTGCAGTTCTTTATCATAGTCGCTCACTATACAGTTTCGTTGATGAAGAAACCTGGCAGTCGTAGCAAGCCGAGTCCTTTACATTTTTGTGGTTTGAATTAACTATTCAATTTCTACAGGCAATAAAGTAACACCAGGCTTAGTTAGAAAAACTACACAGATGTCCTGTGGCAATTTTATTTATTACTTAAATAAGTTTTTTTTTTCATATTCTTTAAGTATAGATTAAGGAATATTCCCATATGTCCACCGATTATTTTTTTATTGCAAATGATCTGTACCATCAACGAATAAGGCTGTCAATATCGGTTCCTATAAAATTCAAAGTTATATCCTTTTGTTAATTTTGCAGCCACTTTTATTGAAATGAAAAACATTTTATGTAAGCAATAGTGGCTGCAAACTTCTAGAAAGGTAGCTTTCTTATGCTGAATCGGATTGCTTTCCGGGCAAATTTTGTCAAGTGACTTTTTTCATATAAATAAAGCATAAGAATGGAGACTCAAGATTTAAGTAGATAGGATAGCAGAGCTACAGAGTAGATGAAAAAAAACTATCTAGAAGATTATATTACTAAACCGTTATACTTTCTTCCAGTCGCGTTGAACTGCGTTTCCTTAACAGTATCTGAAAAAAACTAAAAGTTTCAAAAAATATAGAAATAAAACTAGGAACCCGGAAATTCCTCAAAAAGGAAACACAAACACCAAGAACCACGTTAAATCCCGGGAGTATAAAGTCCAACGGAAGTCACGAAAAAATCATAAGAAAACTAAATAAATACAACAAAAAATAAAAGAAAATTTCCACAAAATAAAAACCGAATAATCCTCGTAAATGAAGAAAAGTACCAAAAAATCTCAAAAGGGTAACTCTAAGAATCTCAAAAAATATTTTTAAAATTCACAGAAAATGAAAAAGGGAAAAACTTAGAAAAGAAAACAAAGAAACGCAAAAAATTCATATCGTTCAAAATAATTTCTAAAAATTCCAGAAAAGTCTCTGAACAAATCTAGAATATATACAAAAAATATTTTGAAAAATTAACGAAAACTCACCAAAAAAATCTTAAAAAGTTCTGAAAAAAGTTTAAAAGTTCCCAAAAAAGTTAAAACACGGATAATCCCGAAAAGCACCGAAAAAGAGTCCATGAAAGATCACAAAAAAAAACAAAGAATACAGAAATGTCAAACTAAAAATCCCGAAAATTAAACAGGAGTAACCCAGAAAAGTTTCGAAACAATCCAGTAAAGTTCCAAAAACTTAAAAAAAAAATTGTGAAAATCCTGAAAAGTAAAAACAAAGCTAAGTAAAAAAAAACAACGGAAAGCAAAACAAAAAGAATTTCGAAATATCACGAAATAAACTAGAAAATCTCCAAAAATATTTCACCAAAAAGGCCCGGAGAGAACTAGAGTTTAGAAAAAATTCGAAATCCTTAGAAAATTACATTCAACAAGCTCCAAAAAATTTTTGAATATAATTGACTGTTCTTTGAAATTTTTTGACATTTTTCAGTGTTACGGGTGTTTTTTTTTAATAAAATTTTTTAGTTTTTTTAAGGATTTTTTTTTTAACTTATTTGTTATTTTATAAGACCATATATAAAACAGGGCATACCTTAAAAACTTCTAACAATTCAGAAAAAAAAAATCCAGAAGTACGAAGTAAATCAAAAACTTACGAAATATCTCTTTTATCGATGTCTAAAAACAAAAAGGATGAGATATCATACTGGCTCGATCTTGCTTGAAATAATAAAAATAGTGTTTCTTAAGTCATGAGAAGGTCATACTCTACAGTGAGAGAGGATTCCAAGGGTATCTACGAAAACACATTGTCTTTTTAACTTCAACTTTTATTTCAAAGGCTGGCAGCCTCCATTACACTGATCTACGCAATGGCTTCTTTTTCGAAATTTTTGATTATTCACATATTTTACTTATTTTAATACAAACATACCGTGACGAATACATTTCTAATGAAATTTTATTTTTATATTTCAGGCTAAAATGATTGAGAGCGGACATCCTTGGATGAGTGGTGCATCATCCTCTTCAGTAACCGGTTAGTTGAAAATAATGGAATTTTACTTTAAGCCAGTAGGTGCTTGGCAAAATAGAAATTTAAGCAAAAAATAACAATTTAAAAACCTCAAAAGTTTAGAAACATTTACCAAATCATCAATATTTTTTTTTAATTAATCTTCTTACTTTTCGCATTTAGTTATTTCTTAATAACACCATTCCCTACTTTTGTATTTCAAATTTACTATTTTCCCCTCTTCACTTCTTTTCGTTGTTCGTCTCAGCAGACAGTTACCAATATCAATTGCAGTCGATGTGGCAAAAATGTTGGAACACCAATCAGCAAAATCTGGTGCAACAATTGCGATTTCGTGAACGTGGCCCGCTAAAATCGTGGCGTCCCGAAGCAATGGCCGAAGCTATATTCAGCGTATTGAAAGAAGGTCTCTCACTCTCACAGGCTGCACGTAAATTCGATATACCCTACCCTACTTTCGTGCTGTATGCCAATCGTGTGCATAACATGTTGGGTCCCTCGCTGGATGGTGGCGCCGATCCGCGTCCGAAGGCGCGTGGACGTCCACAACGTATATTATTGGGCATGTGGCCGGAGGAACTGATACGTTCCGTTATAAAAGCCGTGGTATTTAGGGATTATCGTGAAATTAAAGAGGACTTGGGACACGTGTATGCCAATGGACAAATGCAAGGGGTAAGTTGGCGGAGGAGATTCTATCTGTGTACTTTGGCATTGAATATAAAGAGAGATGAAATGATTTTTGCAATACTCGTATAAAGATTTCAAAACTTCCATGGAGTGTTTGAGAAAGTTTCCTACTAGAAATATTTAAGAGCAGTGTTGCCTACTGAAAAACAATCAATTTGTGTAAAATTTGATAAAATAGAAGGCTAACTTGTTTTTAAAAAGGTGCAGCTTGCACTAATTTTTTGACAGAGTCACTGGTTACAGTTTTCATAAAGCTTAGTTTTCAAAGTAGAAAAAAACAAAAAAATTCTAATAAATTTAGATAACAAAATTTTGAAAAAATTTAAAAAAATGTTTCTGAAAAATTTTTTTTTTGTAAAAAAAAGTTCAAAAAGAAATACTTTTATAAAACCAAATTTCTTAAGGATTCCAGCAAAAAAACTTTAGGCAAAAAATATGTCTTAAAAAAATTAAAGACCACATAATTACCAAAATAAAAAACAAACTTTCACAATACATAATTTCTTGAAACGTAAAAAAAATTATTTCTAAAATATTCAATATATAGTAAATATTTTTTTTAAACTTTTGAAGTTGGTTTTATCAAAAAAATTTCTTTTTCAAATATTTTTTTTTTTTTTAATATTTTTATATCAAAAGAAAATGTTTCTTTCCTTTGGAAAATCTAGTTTTTAGAGTTAATCCATCATCATAAAACAATTTGGAAATAATATATTTTTAAGGGAGATATATGAAAATAATTATTTCTGACGAAAAAAATTACAAAAATTTTTTTTTTTAAAGAAACTAATAACAATGATTTTATGGAAAAATATATATTTCTAATAAAAAATACTTTATAAAACCCAGATTTCATAAAGTTTTCAGCAAAGAAGTATTTTTCAAAAGCATGAAGCAGAAGAAATAAACTTTCGTAAACCCAATTTCTTGAAAAATTTCCAAATAATTTTGAAAAATATTTTTCTATTATATGAAATCTGTATGTGTAAATATGTATAAGCATATTTTTTCAGAAATATTTTTTTTTTTTTACAAAAATGTATTTTATTTACAGATGTTAAAAGAAAATGCTTCCTTTTAATTTTTAGAAGAATACAAATAGTTTTGAGTGTGCAAAATTTCCCTATAATAATTTCTACTGTTTTTCTACCGCTATGTAGCCTCTATTGAAATATTATTCTCTAGCAGCATTTTTTAACCATCATTGCCTTCATTTCTACTACTTTCTCATTTTACTCACACATTTCTTCCCACTTTTCGTCTACTCCACAGGCCTCTCCTTTCGGTGCCGCTGGCAATGCAGCCGTTGCTGCCGCTGCGGCCAACGGTTACCACAACGCCGCCGCCAAGCTAGCCGCACAGAATGCCGCGCTCGCGCCACCCGATTCGCCCAGTCCACTCACCACCATGACCGAAACACTGCGCCGCCAAATAATGTCACAACAACAACAATCGCCCATTTCGCAAACGATGAACATGTACAAATCGCCAGCTTACTTGCAACGTTCCGAGATCGAAGATCAGGTATCGGCAGCGACAGCCAAGCAGCATGCAGAAGCGCGACGCGCATCCGATAGCATGCCCGATTTGAGCGCGCTTGGTGGGCTGATGGGTATACCCGGCTTGAATGTGATGCCCGCGCAGGCGGCCGCCTCGCGCGTCAGCCAAATGCATCAGAGTGGCGCCAACTATGCACGCGAGCGGGAACGTGAGCGCGAGCGGGAACGTGAACTAAAAGAAGCAATGCAAGCGCGTCAGTATGGCAATCAATCGCGTGGCTCCATCGGTGCTGGAAGTGGTGCTGCTGGCGGCGGTGGTAGTGGTGGTGGTGGTGGTAGCGGCGGTGGTAGTAGCGCTCAAAAGCTGCCAGTCACTGCAGTTGCGGCTGCTGCTGCCGCTGCTGCGGCTGATCCGGCCGCCGCCTATGCGCACTACAAGAGCAAGGAACACGCTACCAACTATGCATTCAATAAACGCTTTGCCGAGACGCTGCCGCCAGGTATTGACTTTGAGGCGATCGCTAATGGTTTGCTACAGAAATCGGTCAATAAAAGTCCACGCTTCGAAGACTTCTTTCCCAGTGAATTCTTTGGCAATGCTGAAGGCGCTGCCAGTGCTGGAGCGGCATATCCACCAACGCGCGAATCACCGCTAATGAAGATCAAGCTGGAGCATCAAGCGAGTGCTGAGGTGCCACATGAAGATTAAAGGAAATAAGGTGAGAGTGGCTGAGCAAAGGGGAATGGAATGGGGGGAAAGAAATGCTTCCTTTGTGTAGGAAAGCTTCCTTTGTGTAGGAAAGGGTAAGGCAATAATTTAGTCGTTCGTAGACTTACACATGCACGTAAATACATATACACACATACATACAAAAATGAGTTTATAGGGAATCAAGGTTGAAAGGAGGGAGAAAGAATTCTTTAAGAATACAAATTTTTGACTGCTATTTAACCCCAACGTTTGTAGGTTAGTTGATAAGCTTTAGGTATAGGTATCCAAATACAAATACACACACACAGTTGCAGGCACACATACATACATAGGTGTATGGCATAAATATGCCTATGCTATACACAATACTGAGTATACTTAAGGTCTTAAGTAAATATAAACAAAAATAGGATTAGTCGTGGATGCTGCAGCTGGAAGCGGTAGCATTTGAAGCGCTGATAAGTATGTATGTTACAAAAAATTTATAAAGTTTAGTTTTACAGGTAGTTTTCCATTAAACCAATAAAAAAATTAAAATGCAAAAAAAAAAATAAATAGGTACGTGGTTAAGTAAAAAAAATCCAACTAAGCAGAAAAGTATTTATCTTTTTTATTTGAACTACTACATCGACATACATAGATGTGTGCATATTTCCTTACTTGTATAAGATCTCGTTGTATTACACATACAATTACACACACAAATACATGCATACATATGTACGTAAATAAAATGTGTATGTGTAAATTAATTTATTTGCTGCACAGTGTTTTGCATTATACACACACACAAGCACAATATTAATGCTAACACACACCCACACATACACATACAATAATTTTCATGAAAAATATAGCTCTTATGTAATTAAAAAAATATTTATGAAACAAAGTTTTCGGAATGAATAGACTTGAGCATTTTTAAATGTACGAATAGATGTCTAAGTATCTGTGTATTTACATAATATTTATAAAATAATTAATCATAGTGAACATGTATGTATGTATGTGGTCAAAAATTTAAAAAAACTATAAACAAATTTATAAACATTTTGTTTCAGTCTCAAAAATATTATTTTTTATATTCCATTTATCTAGCTTCTTTCTAAAAACTATTTCACAAAATTAAGCCCCTATAACCCGCTTAGTTCAGTATATGAAGGCTTCCGTGAAAAAAAGAGTTATTATTTAATTGTAAATAATGTACAAATTAAGTTAAAAGTTGTAAAAAAAACTATAGTTTTAAGGCTTAATACAAACAATAAAAAAGCTTAAGAAAATAAGTGCATAACTCTTAAGAAACCATGCGTGCACATCATTTACATACATACACATAGTTACATAGGTACATACATACATATAAATTTGAATATGTTTGTTACTTCGTCAGCCAGTTGTGCAATTGTGTACTCATAAATCTATGAAAAATTTTACGATACATACAAAATTCTTACACATGCATACTTGAAAGTAATATTTGATCAGAACTGTTGTGTGCTTTTTGACTTTTACGTTTACTACATATAAGTGAGTACATATACATACATATACATATACATACATCTTTATATATAGATTACGATAATACAATGATAATTACAATTAAAATGCTGGATAAAGTCAGCAAACGTGCATACATACATTCATAAAACATACATATAAAATGATGATGAATAAATATTTTTAGTTAATCGTGAATGCAAATAAAAAATTATTTGTTATTATTTCAAATGGAAAAATGTGGTGAGTACAGTAAACGACCTTGTAACAATGATCGAAGTGTGGCTGGTAGCCGGTGAGTGCACATTGAGAGACTTTGCTGATATTGAGAGGGCGTTTGACAACGTTACCTTTGACTCTAAGCGCTCTGCGGCCAGAAGACATGCAGCAGACGAAACACTCATTTTACATGGGCGTATACAGGGTGGGCGGCAGCTCAAAAAATTAAAAAATTTTGCATTTTCTTCTTTTTATTTTTTTTTGGTGCTGTAAGCGCCTGAGCGAATTTGGCCGAGTCCAAAAGAACACGCCAGTGGTTTCTCTTCTGTGCGAACTGACGCCAATCGGAAATGCCAAGTGAGGCCAAGCCCTTCTCCATCTGGGCTTTTCAACGCAATGGGGGCCTCCCTCTTCGTCTGCTACCACCAGCGAACAGTGGTTCAAAACTGGCACTTAGTGTTCACAATTCACTGGAGCCTTAATTTTTCACTAAATTTGAGTAATTACTTTTGTTAAATAAAAGATAATAAAATTTAAAAATATTAAATTTTTGAATTCAAAGTGGGGAAAAATTAGCAATTTTGAAGAAAACAGAATCTCCTGTTCCAGTTAATAAATGTTACATAACGAAAGCTAATTGAAAAGAATTGTTGCGTGCCCCTAAAACGAAATAAAGTTTCACAAGAAAAATTCGAAAGATTATAAAAATAATTTTTACTAAAATTAAAAAAAAAAAATTAAATTTCTAGAAAAATGTTGGTATTCAGTTTTATAGATCATTAAATTTTAGTATATTAAAGGGTACTATGAAAGTGGCCAAGAGGTCGCGTTGATTTTTAATAATTTTTTTCGCTGACATTTCGAGTACATCTGCATGCTAAATGGGAAATAAAAGCATTTGTTATATTATAAAAATTTAATGCGAACTATACTATTTAAAAAAAAATTTTTTCAAAACCGAAAAAAAAAATTTTTGGTGAAAACTTTTTTGAACACAAAATGCCAATTTTGTACTACTGTGTAGCGGGTTTTGAGTTGAATGGAGCGTCGCTGTCCATTCGAACGACATGGCTAAGTCAGCGTAGGATTTTTATTCGCTGTACTATGTCTTTAGGAACCTCATACTGCTTTTCGTTCCATTGCACAGTGGTTCAAAATTGGCATTTTGTTTTCACAATTCAACTGAGTCTTTATTTTTCACTCAATTTGAGAATTTGTTTTTAATTCAAAGCTGATAAAATTTGATATAGAACAATTGAGTCCGATTTTTGAATTTTTGTTTGTGTGTAATAAATTGTTTAGTGCAAATTGCAGATTCTCGATTCCCGATTCTCTTGCTCCAGTTCATAAATGTTACATAAAAAGCGATGATTTTTTAATAGAACTAGAACTTCCGCTTGCGTTCATTGCGGCAAGGAAAACAGAACACAGATGTAAACTTGATAGACTTTAATAAGGGGTCGGTTATGTTTTATCCTCAGATTAACCCGCTGCGCCTGATGCGGTAGACAATCCTAGTCTTGTTATCGTGGTATAGAAAATTGGAAGGTTTAAACCTTTTAGTACTTGTGAAATATCCAGAGGTAACTCCAGATGCGAAGCTGACATGGAGAGCTCCTGTCGAGCTGAAGGTAAATCGAGCGCTGAAATTGATGAAACAGTGTCAAAGAACCAAAGCTCAAAGCTGGCGTCTGAGACCGGCTATGGTATTTTGAGTATACATAGTTTTAGCCAGACTAATCGTCACGTACTCTGCTGTAGTGAGGTGGAGTAGAACCATGGTTAAGACCACGTTTTCTGTGTTAAACATTGCGACTCCATGAGTCCGACCCATGTCAGGACCGGCCCTAAGATGTTTAAATGCACTACAGAACGACACCAGAATACCACCAGATTCTCCCCGCCAAGAGGAGCACAATAGCATGCTGTGTAACCCGAACAGGCATCTGAATGCGACAGAGCCCTCGACAAGGCACGTCAGAAGGCACCTATACGAACTAACGGACGAGGTCAACAGGTTAATAAAACAACCATTGGACCCGAAAGCGTGCCGAAAAGCCATAAACAACATTCACATGCAGTCGGTCTCAACTTACACCAACTTGCGACATGTGAATGTAGTTTCAGGCAGACTACCACCCGACGTGGACGAGACAGAACTTCTTCTGCGTCGGAAAACTCGTACCACCCTAGCACAGCTTCGCTCTGGATACTGCAGCAGGTTTAACTTCTACCTGACATGCGGAGAATCACCCCTGTAATCCACAGACCTCTCCACATGCCCACTAAACCCCACTCAATTAAGGTCCCTCTCCCTCTGGTTCGACCCAGGCATAGTGGCACACTTCTTGGGCCACCCCCCAAGCACTGAACGACGTTCTACTGGAACTCAATAAAGATGGCGTGAAGGTAGTAGCAAATGCAGATGATGAAGTGGTGGCGGTATCAAGTCTCTTCCCTTCAACGATTAGCAAAATCTTAGAGGAGGCTTTGCTCGGGCTAAATACCTGGGCCACAAAAAGTGGTCAGCTTGTACAGATGCTACAGGAGCAATTAAGTCGTGTCTATCTGATGCGGTTAATGTGATCCTGCATCAACGCCCATAGAATTCATTGGATCATGAAAAAATAACGGTACTCCTAAGTTTTTATGTGAGAATTGAAGTCGGTTTTGTTATTTTTTGCTTAAAAATTACCTATTTATAATTTCACTATATTGAAGTCAGTATCGTTTGTTTAAAAGAAAACAACAAACTTAACATGAAGCAAGAATGATAGACTGCAATATAGCGAGAGTACCAGTTTGACAGAATAAAACCAAAGATCAGAGAAAATAAGGATGTTGGCCATGGTTATGGCTCCCTTATATTCTATGTTCTTCGTGATAACGAAAGTGCTGCCACGTTTGTCCGAAAAATGGTTTTTGGGCCAGAGTACAGGGAGGCCGAGGCCATTCAATGAGCGACAAAGCCGCGAGCGGCTGAGTGGCTGAGCGGCCTAAAATTAAAACATATGAAATACTATTGAAGTAGTCACGCAATGAGCTGCATTTATGAATGGTTGGGCGGCGCCGTACAGGAATAAAAGCCGCTCAAAACTCAGCCGCTCATTGCATGGCCTCGGCTTAAATCGGTACAAATATGAAAAATAGGGTCACTTCAACGTCTCGACTTTCAGAAAATATTCAGCGGGACAACTTTGTCAAAATTGGTACCTTTCCGCCAAAATCGGTACGAATTGTCACCGCACGTCTGACTGATACACGTTGGAACAACCACCAAACCTGCAAAAGTGCGAGGAATTTGTCAAGAGCTCGAGGAGAGATATAGTTAAGTTAACAGCCACGATAATGGGACATTGGCTCAATGGCGAACGTGCAGCTAAAATGGGCTTACCGTACAACCCTCAGTGTCGTAGCTGTAATCTTG